AAAAAAAAAAAAAAAGAAAAACAATTTAAGTGTAAACAGAACCAAACCCCCAAACCTACAGTAATGTTGAGGTGTAGATTTTGGTAATTAGAAGCTGGATGTATCTGGGACAGTTTACTAATGTGCTAGGAAAACAGCTCTTGACTTGCAAGTCTGTTTGAAAACAGAGCACCAAACGTAGGTAGTGACCTTGACATTTAGACATTCTAAGGAATGGTAAAAGTAGTATTTTATTTGAAATGGTGTGGCTTTTGAGGAAGTTGGGTGCCTGAATGCACCCCCCCTCCCACTTTGCTGGATTAGAACAACCATTAAGGGGAGCCTGGAAAGTTCTTCTGAGGTTGAGAATTTTCTGGGTTCGTTCACGGAGCTGGGGGTTCCTGGTCTGGGGGTAGAAACAGACAAGCCCCTTAGCCATTAAAATACTATCATTAAAGAACACCAGGTCTTTGCACATGTTTATCATTTGAAAAACAGATAATTACTCTGTTGACCATTTTTAGAAAATAGAAAATGTTCCAAAGCTCTCCCCATTCCTTTTATAATTCTAGAGTAATCTTAATACCAAAATCCTTAAAGTAGTGCAAAAAGAAAATAAAGATTGATTTTGATGAGTGTACCAGATTTTCAAGTAAAAGAGTAAATTAAATCTAGTGGTTTATTTAAAGACCTGTATTAGGCCCCAGAAAGATTTCGTTGAGAAACATAAAGATGAGAATCTTGAAGTCTGTCAACATAATTCATTACATGAAGCATTTAAAAGAGAAAATAATGTGTTAATAGACGACAGAACATTTAGGGATATTTAGCGGTCATTCTTAATAAAAAGTCTTTTAGGTAAGATAAAATTGCAGTGGAAGGGAAACTACCCAAACATAATAGACACTTGGGGCACCTGGGTTTCTTAAGTTGGTTAAACATCCACCGTCAGGCTGTGAAGTGAGCATGGAGCCTGCTTGAGATATATTCTCTCTCTCCCTCCCTCTCCCTCTCTCTCCTCTCTCTTCTCCCTCCCTCCTTTCCTCCCTCCCTCACTCTAGCCCTCTCCCTTGCTTTCATGCTCTCCCCCCGAATAATAAATTTTAAGTAAAACATAAAAAGTATATTTGTAAAAGAGAAACTTGAAGATAATGTTCTATAAAATGTCAGAAAGATAAGGCATTTCCATTAAAGTAAGAAATAAAATGAAAATGCTTATTATTTCCTTTATTCATTTTTGAGGCATTTGCTAATATAGTAAGGTAGAAAAATGAAAACAGTAAAAATATAGAAAGAATCATTTGCAGATGATATGAATGATTAGAAGATGTAGGAAACTCACCTAGAAAACTAGTTCAGTTCATGAGAATTTGGTGAAGTGACTGGACAGAGACAGTCTAAAAAAATTTTTTTAGTTATGTTAAATGCAAAGCAGTTTGAATAGAAATTGGAGGTGGAACTGGGCCAGAGATCCTATTCAAAATAATGACCAATTGGGTTTTTTTTTAAGCCTTTTATTTTTTTATTAAAAAAAATTTTTTTACATTTATTTATTTTTGAGAGACAGATTGAGACAGAGCATGAGCAGGGGGAGGGGCAGAGAGAGGAGGAGACACAAAATCTGAAGCAGGCTCCAGGCTCTAAGCAAGCAGTCAGCACAGAGCCTGATGTGGAGCCCGAACCCATGAACCGTGAGATCATGACCTGAGCCAAAGTCAGATACTCAACCGACTGAGCCACCCAGGTGCCCCAAGTCTTTAATTTTAATACCAGTGTAGGTTACAGATGGTTATATTGGTTTCAGGTGTACTAATATAGTGACCCAACAATTCTGTATATTACTCAGTACTCAGCGTGATAAGTGTCCTCATAATCCCCTTCACCTAGTTCGTCCGTCCCCCCACCCACCTCCCCTCTAACCATCGATCTGTTCTCCATAGCTAAGAGTCTGTTTTTCGGTTTCTCTCTTTTTTAATTGTTCATTTGTTTTGTTTTTTAATTCCACTTATGAGTGAAATCCTATGGTATTTGTCTTTCTCATGCTGAGTTATTTTGCTTAGCATTATACTCTAGCTCTGTCCATGTCATTACAAATTGCAAGGTTTCGTCCTTTTTTATGGCTAATATTCCATTGTACACGCCACCTCTTCTTTATCCATTCTTCTGGAGACCTATGTAGAACAATGTTGGCTGTGGCCAGTGTTAAAGATGTTCCTGCCTATGTTTTCTTCTAGGATTTTTGTGGTTTCAGGTTCCACATTTAGGAATAATGGCCCATTGTTAAATACCTAGGAGTATATTTAAATAAGAATGGTATTGTGGGACTGGTAAGAATTAGGTCAAGATTATATTGAAAGCCTATAACTGAAGTTGGAATCTGTGGAGAGACATGTGATATTTTTAGAATGAGAATACTGCAACAGTGTCTGTAACTTCCTAATTACAACTAATACCAATCGGAATCCCAACGAGGTTTTTAGAATTAGACCAAATGATATCAAGTTGATTTGTAACAGTACATACCTAAGAATTGCCAAGAAAACAATTTTAAATAATCCACAGTGAAGGGAGATTTGCGCTGTTTGTTAATTTACTGATAACGCATAGTAATCAAATAGAGGAAATATGATATTGACACAGGAATCGACAGATAAGAGGAATGACACAGAAACGTTGAACATGTCTGCGTGTGTATTCGTATATACACAGCTAATACATGACTTAAGTTATATTTCAAGTTCGCTTGGGAAAAGGAGATTTAGTTGATTTTATAAATGGTGCCAGCACAATGAGCTGTTCATCTCCTTGAGAACAAAGTTAACATAATCTTAGAAGCCATAGAAAAACTAATCTCAGATGGCTTAAGCTCTAGATACATAAACTGAATACATTTAGGGAAATTTAGCATGTTTAATCTTGAAGTTGGGAAACCTTTTAAAGAAAGACAAGAAACGCAGAAACTATAATGACCACATAATACCATAAACAAAGCTGAAAAAGTAGTAATAAATGTAAAAATGACAGGGATTTAACCCCTTTAATAATACAGAGAGCCCCTCCCTACAAGTTAAAATTTTAAAATGAGGATAACTGAATCGTAAAATGTGAAGGATATGAACTGGTCCTTCTCAGGAAGTGAAAATCAAATATCCTGTAAACTTTTTTTTAATGTTTATTTATTTTTGAGAGAGAGAGAGAGAGAGAGAGTGTGAGCACACAAGCAGCGGAGGGGCAGAGAGAGACACACACACGGAATCTGAAGCAGGCTCCAGGCTATGAGCTGTCAGCACCGAGCCCGATGTGGGGCCCAGACCCATGAACCCTAAGATCATGACCTGAGCTGAAGTCGGACGCTTAATTGACTGAGCCACCCAGGCACCCCCCGTCCTGTAAACTTATAACGAAATGCTCACCCCTGTTAGTGGCTCTGCAAGTACATGTTTTCCACATGAGCAAGGTACTTGACACAATAGAGGAGGGCCAATATCCCGTGCTGGGGAGGATGCCAAGGAAACAGGTGCTGCTCTCAGTCATTGCTAGTCGGAGTGTGAATGGCCATCAAAACTAAAAAGTACATGCCTTTTGTCTTAGCGACCCAATGTTTTGAGGGCCTAGCCTACAGGCAGGCATCTATACAAGGAAGTTAAGAGTAGCACATTTTTAGTGGGATGATACCATTTTTACAAAAACCATTACCTGGAATGGTGTTAGATGAAAAATGTCAAGTTCGGCATGTGTGTGATCCTAGCTTGCTTGCTTTTTGATCCTGGTTTTACGAAAGAGAACGAGCATTTGTGTTTATGTGAGAAAGTGTGTTGGTACAAGTGTTGTACTTAGATGGTGTATTAAGTGAAGCAAGTTACCAAACAACAGGAGTATAAAATTGTGACTGGGGATCTGTGAAAGACCATTCATAGGAAAAATTCTGAGATAGGTTGTTTTAGGGAATTGTGTGTGGCACACTTGATTTCTGACTTACGTGAATTTGGTTACACGAGTGTGTATTTTGTAACTAGAAACATAAAAGGCCAGGAGAGTAACTCCTGCCAGCTCAGGATGTTTCCTGCAGCCAGACGCATCCGCAGCACATAGCCGCAGCACATAGCCGCAGCACTTCAAAGAGAAAACGAACCCCAAACTTCTGTGCAGTTGACCCTTGAACAACGTGAGAACATGCGGGTTAGGGGTGCTGACCACCTCCACACCTAAATCCCCACCACACAGTCAAAGCTCTGCCAATAACTTTTGACCACCCCCTCCCCCAAACTTAACTTCTCATAACATGCTGTAGACCAGAGGCCTTAACAAGAATATAGATAGTAGAGGGGCACCTGGGTGGCTCAATCGGTTAAGCATCTGCCTTCGGCTCAGGTCATGATCTCACCATTCGTGAGTTGGAGTCCCACATTGGACTCTCTGATGTGTGCACAGAGCCCACTTCAGATCCTCTGTCCCCTTCTCTCTGCCTCTCCCATTCTTGTGTGTCCTCCCTTTCTCTCTCTCTCTCTCTCTCTCAAAAATAAGTAAAAACTTTAAAATTTGTATTCCTAGAAAATACATTAGCATGCCTTAAAAAATAGATTAACACATTTTGTATGTTATATACTGCATTTTAAAAGTTTATTCGTTTATTTTGAGAGAGAGAAAGCACACACAGCAGGGTAGCGGCAGAGAGAGGTGGGAGAGAGAGAATCCCAAGCAGGCTCCGCACTGTCAGCACAGAGCCCGACGCGGGGCTCGAACTCATGAACTGTTAGATCATGACCTGAGCTGAAATCAAGTTGGATACTTAATTGACTGAGCCACCCAGGTGCCCTGGCTCCATTTCTTATTTTAGGTACCTTTGGGCAAGCTATGGTACCTGTCTCTTCTTTCTCCCTCGCTCCCAGAAGTATGGAACACCTCACACATTGGCGTGTCATCCTTGCACAGGGGCCATGCTAATCTTCTCTGTATCTTTCCAATTTTAGTATGTGTGCTGCGAAAGCCAGCACTGCGTAACCTCTGTTAACTTTGTTTTCCACTTATAAACTAGGAATAATAATAGTACCTGTAGACTGTGGCTTAAATTAAATGAGAAAGCATACTAAAATATATAGTAGGCATTGAATTGTAGCTCTTATAGGCATGGATGGAAGGCATTCTTGTTCATGG